ATATATATATATATATATATATATATATATATATGAATATTAACATTTACGTCTGTTTTTATATTTATATTTATAATTACATCTATAGAGGAGTTCATATCTAGTTTGGTGTAAATTTTTCAAGAACGAAATATCCTTTCAAACCGGAAAAATTGCAGTGACCCTGGCACAATGCCACTTTTTAATACGGAGGTATCTGGAGGTTACCTTAACCACCTCCCTAAAGGCATGCTAAACTTTTAAGTCACCTGCATTCAAGTCAAAGTTACTCTCACATCTCGATTGAAAAAGGAAATGAAAGCAAGTAATTGTAAACATAAAGAGAGAAAACATTAACAGGGAACGTACAGTAGGTAATAAGTCATGAACACAGGCGACTTAAAAGTTTAGCATACCTCAAGGAGTGGTTCGGACAACCTCCAGATGCTTCCATTTGGCAAAGTGGCATTATGCCGCTGAGATGATTTGCATAAAAAAAGGATATTCCGTTTCTGAAAAAGTTTCACACCAAGTTAGAAGTAAACTCTTCTATGCGTAATTATGCATAGCTGTTTATGAGGCATTCATTTTTAAAATATTTTAGCCATTAGGTACTTTTACCTGACTTTTCTCTTTCAGATACTCGTTACCATTTATATATTTGGCATTCTGTTTGCTCACTCTTTTCACGCTCCGTTCCTGTCTTTATGCGACAACTTTCAGGAAGACTGTTGTTAGTTCAAAGCCGTATTATGCGGCTCTTCACATTCTCCCACTGCTTGCTCTGACACACTTTCTATTTGTGAGTTACTTTTTTCAAGATCTAGGTTCTTAACTGTTTCGCACTTTGATCCCTTAAGTAATGTTTTGAAAAAAACATATATCCCGTGTTTATTTAAAATTTTTTACAGGCTGGTTTACTGTACTACACTTTCCCTTTTATAACGTTAGTAAGTAGCCTAATAATAAATGCAGCTCATATGGCAGTAGTTCGTGGACGTCGTATTGGAACTGTTTACAAGAAAGCTTTCTTGCGTATGAAGAACGTTGTGATGCTTTTTATTCATATGGCTCTTTTCGGGTTTTCTTTGGTTGTGTTGATGCTCAATTTCTCATTCCCAAAACCTTTCTTGGTTACTCCTCTTCTATTTGTTCCTTTGCCGTTTCTATATTATTGTTTTACTGCTGGATTGTCTCATCCAAAATTTGTACATTATTTCCCCTAGTACTGATTCATTATTGCTTCCGTAGTTGGTGTCTTTTATGTTAAGTCTCTTCCGTAATGCATCTGTCACGTAGCGCTTTCTTTTCCTTGCTTTTTTGTACGAGAACATTTTCTTCTGGTTCCTTTGGATTTGGAAGCTTGTATTTGGGGTTTTCGTCACTGCCTACAATTCTTTCCACCTTCTTTCCTTCAAGTTTACCCTACGAGTTGAATGATTTAATGCTAAGTGGAAAGGGGATACTGTAAGTCTACCAGTAAGCTTTTAGACAGTATCACACTTGCTGTTGGCTTCCTTTGAAGACGGAGGGAGCTTTCTTGGACCTTTAAAATCATCTGTTTAAGGTAATGGGTGCACTAATATGATGCTTCTGCCAAATTATCTTGAACGACATTCAGATTCTTTCAAGAGGTTCATTTGTTTGGAGCGCTTATTTCCACAAACTTTTTGTCTTGGTAAGTGTGGACTTATGACTGCTTCACTGAATCGGGAGCTTGAAGGATTTAAGTGTGTAGCACTCAAGGGGTACTTTTCTTCTCCAGTCCTTTGGGCTTTCGTGGCGAGATAAACGTCGAAAATTGGATGTACACTACACACAAGTATACATGTTTGTGATCTGAGGTCAGACTGGAGTAAAAAATGTTCGGACTTAAGTTAGGTCGGCTGCAACAAGCTAATTTTGCTTTCTGCAAACGAAAGGGTCCGTTTTTTTTTCTCTGGGGAGGAGGAACTAATATTTAAGTTGTTTTAATGCAACTTTATTGGCCGGGATGTTCTGCATGTCAAACCAAATCTGATCAAAATTTTCCAAATCGGCCGGCTCTATCATCCGTTTCCGGAAACATTTGCCAAGCTGCCAGACATGCGGTCAACAGCATCAGCGAAGAGCTATTCTTGGTTCAGCTCATGCCCATCAAATTCTTTGTGATTGACTTAGACTAGTGCTTTAAGAATGGCCAAGTTTTACAGATCTTATTTTGCCGTCTCTGCCTTGGGCAGTAAACATCCAGGTGATTAGAATGGCTAACTAGAGTCTTCATAAATGGCAACTTATTTTTTTTCAATGATGTCTAAAAATAGATGGGAAAAGTGAGCTCTGGAGTTCCATTTATGTTGGTGGAAAATATGCTGCTTCTTTGCTTGATTTTTATAACGAAGAATTTGAGGGATGACGAACGATTAAGAAACTTTGCTCTCTCTGTTTCACCAAAATCTGCTTTTACGGAACATCCGCACTATTACTTCTGGTATGGGTTCCAGCAGTCGTAACTCCTGTAGAGTAGCTCCTCATTCCGTGCAGTCGTTCGTCAACCAGCGCAATGAGCATTTCAGCTTTTTTTTTGGCAGGTCCGTTGCAGTCTGGTATGAAGCTGTTCATTTGAACTTACTTGCTACATTTTAAACAAATTTCGCTTAAAGTTCCCCGAGACTATGTTTCAAACAGCGTCAAATCAAAGCTCACTATTTCAACAAATGATTCCTTGTCACAATTACCACTATTCTTTCTTGCGTTTAAAAACACCTCTGTTTTTGTGCAACAGTTCTGCAGTTGTTTTAATAGCCCACTTCTCATAGTTGCACCACGCTAAATGATATAAACCCACCTAGAATTATTTTCATTTTTCAAAACAGATTTCAAGACAGCCATCTAAACCACTCCTGAAATACAATACAGGATACGTTTCTTTTAAGAACAGAGTCACCAGAGCTGAGGGTTCAAAGTTAAGGAGCCACTTTGCCCCGTTGCTGTGACTATTTCGGGTTTGGCTCCGCAGCCTTTGAATTTGTAAATCCTGACTCGAGAAGACTGCTTTCGAAAATAAGCCTACCCTGACACCTAAGCTCTTTATGCGTCTGCACCTAAACTAGTGACCACCTCATCCAGCAAATATCTCGACAGCGAACCAAGCGGTAATGTTTAAGGGAGACTTCAAATATTTGTCGTTTAAAGCCAGTACGGAGCGACTAAGTATTAACACCAAACATCAGCAAAGACCCTCCATTTCGTATCAATTTGAAATGGATTAATCCCTTTGAAGGCTCCCTTGGGTGCATTTACAGCTAACAGTGAAACCTTGACAAGAAGCTGCTCGAAGTTTATTCCTCTCCGAATGTTCTTTGGCGCCTGAGTGCTTGAAAAAGTTGCCGACTGTTTTATAAAATCAAGAAGTAAAGCACGATGTGTTAACACGATAAAGAGTTGTAATTTCTATATGGTTAACCAGCAAAAATTGCTAAAAAGACGGCAGTACAGTTTCTTCCTGAAAAGTGATCGGTAGCTCAAAAGTTTAAGAACCCTACTGTACACGTAATCAACGGAAGGCTAATACGGCAAACCAGTCAATCAGTGAAATTAAATACGAGGATGAAATCCAATTAAATTAATTCACCTTTCACCAAAGCATCCTTTGAATTTCAAAAGAATCCTATGTTTGACATAAGAAATGAAACGCGAGCCTCATGAATCAGAATAATCGGGAACTGCTTTTCATGCTGTATATATAAAATCTAAAGCGCTATTCTCGTCCACGCCGTCACCATCGTTTTGTAAAGTTTGCCTTAGAGGTCCCATTTCATTTTCTATATAATCAGGGTCACTTATAGTACTCATCATATTCTGGAAAGGTGATTTTCCTTCGCTTAGGACTTCATTCTCTTCCATTGGCGACGCTTCTCCAACAGCGGTTTTTGAGTCCTGTAATCAAAAAGAAAAACCAAGTAGAAGTACAAAACTAGAATTATTTCTGAAAAAAATATAAAGAATTTGACCTGGAGAGTACGTCCTACTGTGAGCATGAAATACTATCATTTAAAATTTTGCTGCATTCCTTCCAAAAAACGGGTACTTAACCACCCAGATTTCAATATTCGCACCTATAGATCTGTTGCTTTAGCACCTAATAAAGACTAGATTTTTGCTAAACGAAACTAAACCTTGAGATTACTTCATCCATCCAGAACTACACTACACGGGAGACATCGTACAGACGCTACAAACGCTAAGAGGATCATGATAATGCACAAATCTTTTTCGGATGAACATGAGTGTAGCCATATCTCACAACTCTCACTCTTTCCTTTAAAAATACAGCATACCATAATGTTTAAATATCTGTACTTACCTCATCTAGAAGACTGCTTTCAAATGGAGGATTGTTCTGCACGTCATCCCGTTCTTCATTTCCTAGCTCTGAGCTGTTATCGCCGCCATTTGTCATGTCACCAAATCTCATTTTATTCATATAAGCCTAAAACTTTAATTCTGGAAAAGAGGCAACTTTTCCAGCAATGACTTTAGTATTATTGTCTTGAAGGTAAACCAAAGTAGTTGTGATAAGCAATGACAAACCTTTAATGTGTAAAGTAAAAAATGGAAGTGGAATAAAAAAATTTAACTGAACTACGAAAAAAACCTGAACCATCCTTTTTTCACCAAGCGTCTCCACCCTAGCAATGAAGTCATCAAAATTCATTGAGGGATACAACAGATGAGCCCAGTGTTCAATTTTAGACATCATTCGACTCAAATTAGTATACTGAAGAGAAGTGCAGATAAATAATTTTATCAATTTTACAAAGACATGATCTTAACTAATAACATTTTGATAACTTGACTCAAGAGTAATTTCCAAAAGACTTTGCACAATTCAAGTGCACGAGTTCCCACAATTTATAAATGAGGCCGTGGATCTTGCTCAGTAGAATTCAGTAAATTCTCGTCTGTTTTAGAAAACTGAACGAGAAAAGAGCGAACCGGATTCCCCTTGAGATTATACTTGCAGTCCTTGAACAACGGTTCCAACGCCGCTATCCCTTTTGTGCCGCAAAGTTCCATCTCACTCAATTTCGGCCGCTGACCAGTTTGTTTACGAATCCTTTCCTTTTTAAAGGCTCTGTTTATCACGTCAGCATCCGATGTTGCTGCTAATATTAAGGAGATCAATGAGTTTGCCGATGAGCAAAAAAATGTCCATTCTCCATAACAGTTTTGAAAGGTTATTAGAAATATAATAAGGCAGGTTTTTATGAATTTATAAATGATCTCTCAAACTTATCACAGATTTGCCGGGAAAAAACTGCAGTTCAACGTCTCTCTAGGTCGCTCTTTTTACTCTAAGTATTCCTTTAAGCTATTTAAACAGGAAAAGCTTGAACCTCAAAACTCTCCAGAGTTTCTCAGTTTCACTGATAACCAATTCATTAAATCTAACCACATTTACCTCACTAACACTTTTCTCATTTAGAGTAACCAGTGCAAATGAAACATTCACGACCCACCCTACACTGAACTGTATACTTTTTTCAGATAAGATGTCAAAACTTCTTTAGATTTTCTCAAATAATAAAGATAAACTCTAGATTGAAAAATTAAAAAGAGATCTCGGAAAGAATTTTTTTGAAGCTGCACCCCTTCGACATACAAAACTTTTCAACTTTTGCACAACCAAATTCCGTTTCACTTTTTTAGACTCCTTAACTTCTACCTTTACACTTTTTACCCAACTCAAAACCAGCATCCCCCTCCCTCCCGAGATTCAGAACAGTGTCAGTTCAAAAATTTCAGTTAATATGCAGTTCTCCTTCTTTCCCGTATAAAACGAGAGGAACTGAAACTGGAAATACTGCCTCATTTTATGTGAACTGACGCACATGCCAAAACGCATTAGCCGAAACGACTTGTCACAACCAAGTTGCTGAAGATATGCCCCATTCAGCACAACCCTGACGGTATAAAATTTCATGGAGATGTATTTCTACAGCAGTCGAAGTCTGCCGAATTATGAGGAACAAGTTCAAGATCAAGCTCTTGAAGAGCCAAAAGCATGTTGCAGAAACCCCGACCTATTCCTCTTTATAAAAAACATTAAAAACTAGAAAATACCAAATAGAATAGCAGAAAAAACCTCCTCATCTGCTTTGTTTAAAAAGTATCTTTTCCCTACCAATCTTAAAAAACCGTGCCCCAAAAGGCAATACACTTCAAGAATATTAAGCATGCAATAGGAAAAGTTGATTTCTAATTTCAATCCTCATCTTAATCCTTGGGAAACTCCTGTCACAAATTAAAAGTTAATAGCAATGAAAGAAGCACAACTGAACAATAACTCACCTTCCCCACTCGGCTGTTCAACTTCATTCTCTTCAAAAAAATCGTCGCCAAAATATTCGTCAATCTCATTCATTTTTCAATTAAAACTTTGCAATGATTAATCAGCTAGAAACGATACAAGAAAGCAGCCACTACACCGAACTTTAAAGTAAAAACACTAGTATTACCAATCAAGCATTTTCTTCGGTCGTTAACCAAAACCAATCACATATATCTAAGAAAGACAGAAACAATTTTATATTACCTTCTACAGCCACAGATCACATAAGCACCACTGGCTAATACATACACATAGCACCTTCACAAGCAATCAATCAGGAAATTTATCACCACTGATACTGCAATAGGAAATGCAGAACACACAAAAAGTCACAGTCACTAACAAATTCGTGGAGAAATAACAGAAATAAAGAACTCAATGACCAATAAAACTAGAAAATAAGCTCCAGAAAAAAATAAACATTGTTTTAATCATTTGCACATGATCACCCCTCACTGAGCAACAATCCTGCCTTATCCCTTTTGAAGAAAATTTTATTGGGCATTTCGACAGAGCCAATCAAATATATCAAAAGCTTCCCTTTCCTGTGCTTCCTCTCTGTTCTATATCAAGCAACTTACCAGCAGTACAAACTTGGTTGAATTACTTCACAGTTGGGGGAGAATTTAAGGAGCTGCTCAAGTAAATAACTTTCTTCAAATGGACGATTATTTTCTTCATCTGACTCGCCCTCTCACATACCGCTGAAGAGTGTTCTAATGGATCAAAATAACAATCCCTTGTTGGCTAAAAATAAGAAACTTAAGCATCAATATAGCTCTGTTATAACCGAAACTCTCAATAACATCCATGTTCCCGGCAGAATAAAGTGAATTACCTCAGATTAAATTACATAAGATAAAACAATGACTGACTATGCCCAAACGAGTGGAACTCCCTCACAAGTACAGCTTATAAGACAAACAAAAAATAAACTTATGAAATGATTTTGGAGGGAAGAAATTCATATATATTTGTCATTTAAGTCCAGTTAATCCAATAAGATCAGAGTCAGCTTACACCTACAGTTTAATGTAGAGTGAAAATACAAAAGTCAAAAGCAGTTCCCTAACCTTAGAGGTTTTGGTCAAAAAGGAGGAAATACTAGCTGATTTAATTCGTTTGACTGGCGGCGCGGCTAAATTGCTTATCACATTACACTGCGAACCGGAAATAGCGTTCCCAGCTTTAGAAGCAGGCACCTAAATTGAAACAAAATTTGGTACCATTAAATGTTAGAATAAATGAGCGGCTGTAAACCAAAGAAGATATTACATCAGGCAATGACTGAACCAACACTGAATCCAAACTGAGTTCTTCAAAAGCCGAATCAAAGAAACTCTTCTCGCGAAGTTTTGCTTTGAGCCTATAAAAAACATTAGTTTCATCTCAGACCTGGAAGTTAAAAGGAAGAATGCAAGAAAAAAAACTATTCGTTTGAAAAAAAAGGTCTGATGATAGTGTAAGATTATTCGTCTTAAAGAAGCACAGATGAACCAATACAATCCAATTGCGAGCAATTACTAAAACATTAAACTTTCAGAAATTCATAAATTTGTTGCTTTCCTGAAGAAGAATAGCAAATGTATAACACAATTAAAAAGCCAACGAACCGTTCACTCTCAGCGCTTAATGTTTCATCATCTGCGCCTACAACTCCAACAATTTTTAGCGTGGTATCGCTCGCAGATACATTCTTTGATGTCTGGGGTTTGTCTAACCACATCAAGTTTTCTTCCGCATGAGAAGTGATAAGCCCCATTGCGTTCTACGCAAACTGGTCTTTTGAAAAGTATCATTAATACCAGAGTAAGCTTGAAAGCCAGTACTTACCTGTGATTTGAGAAACACTTCTTTGAGCCCGCCAAGTGCTTTTGTGCGCTCTCGTACAGCAATAGCTTCAAAGGTTGAAAGAAGACCAGGACTGTAAATAGCATACTCTATAAACTTTGAACCTCCTAATGACATGCTAGCCAAAAAAGATTAAAAAATCATCAGTTAAACAAGCAAGCAAAGTAAAATTTTATACGCTTCTGTTATCCAAATAGCAAAAAACTTCCTGAACCTGCTCAACTCAGCCCAATACTCCTCAATTTTCGGGTGCCAGTCAGGGGGAAAAATCCTTACATTATCCTTGCATAGGTTAACAGCTTTTAATAAGGAACCTTCTATCGCATCTACACCATAATCTATTGAATCTACTCGATCAACGTTCTAAAACAAACTTTAAAGCTTCTAATGTGAGGTTAAAATTTAGAACAAGAAGTGGTACGCCTCCGATGTTCTGAGAGAATACAAATCAACTTACAACTTCGTAATCATGAGTGAAAAGTGTGTAAATTTGCCCGTCGTTGCTGACATTGATACCGTTAACGTAGTGAAGAACAGATAAACTGAAATTCAAAAACTTTTCCAAGTCCCTGAGCTATCAAAAAACGGCAGTTAAGCAGGTCCCGAATTACAAGACTCCATGCTTAAATACCCTAAGAAGTATTTTTTATGCTCGATAAGTTCCAGTGTTAATTTCTTGAGTTCATAACTCAAGTTAAAAAGTCAACTGAAAATAATTTTAGTTACCCCTCATCAAAGCATATGACGGCATCAACGTATCCAACACTCAAAGTGAATGTTTCAGCAGTACAGGACGTTATGATCAAATTGCACATTTTGTCCTAAAACAACAACCAATTTCAAAAATAACTTCCAAAAGCACTCAGAAAAAATAATTATCACAAACGATGAGAATTTATAATGCCGCGCGAACGGTTTTCGAACACAAAGTAAATAAATCCTTTACGAAAAAAAAAATCAATGAGAAGACTTAAAATAATACGATGCAAGACAAACTTTCATCGAGGAAGGCGGTAAGGCGCATACGCTGGAACAACCTAAAATAAACGCTGAAAAAAAAACAAAATTTGAGCTTCACAGGTATTAAAGTGTACTCGTACTAACAACATCAGACAACGTTAAAAACAGCCAAAAGTGCTGGGGAAAACTTTATAATTCAAAGAGAATTTAGTCATTTTGTGGATACTTTCGTACTTGGATCTCCACAAACTACACTCACTGGTTTTCCATTAAACTTTCCAGTGAGTACAGAAGACAATTTCTGAAGCCATGAAGCATTCCTACTGCGACACAAGATGACGACAATACTTTTTTCGTGACCTATACAAAATTACAAACAGTTAACATTCGAAAAGTAAAAAATTAAGAAACACGCAGCAAGGCAGACAAATAATTATATTAGAAGTGAAATTTCGGTTTGCCGTTCCAAATTTGCTTGCAAATTCTACAGAGATCTTACTTCTATCGTGACCAAGAACAGCTTCCAATGATAATACTTTTTAAGCATTATATTATGTGTCAAAAATCAAGAGATACCATATTTAAAGAGAATATCGTCAATAATCTTAGAACATCCGTCGAGTTTATGAAATTTGAAGTCTTCTTGTAAAGGATCTGACATTAAAAAAGACGTTTTAAGAAAAGCATTTGCTTCAACAATATGACGGACGCTGACGCGTTTTGAAGTTTTCTCTATAAAGGAAATACATTAGAAATGTGAATAATAACCTCAAATTTTTTAAAACAAATTATAGATATAAGCTGTAATATAATCGCAAGAATCAAAAACCGAAAAGGAAACCTCGCAGATCAATAGCAAATGCTGTTATTCCTTCACACATTAGCGTATCGTAAATGTCTAATAAACTCTCCAGGTCAGCAAGAACTGTCCTCAAATGGTCATTTTCACCAATTTTAGAATAAAGAAACTTTCGCGAAAAATTTACAATTTTCTGGTGGTCTCTCGTAGGTAAGACTTTTGAATCAAACAAGACTTCCAAAAAAGGCCTCATAACCTAAAAACAAAAATTAGCTATAAAAAGATATTAACAGTGGTAAAACTGATAAAACTTCAAATTTCCTTCTGATATTTTTCCAATCCTGTACTTATTTTCACAACAGAATAACTACTAAAATTGATTTCTGAACGAAATTTAAAAAAGTTTGGAAATGGTCGCCACAAACTTCGATTAGAGTTGCGGCAATACTATTTAATTCTTCCGTAACTGGAATACTCCTTCTTACAGAACATGGTGGTGAGACCAATGATGATATATCTTGTCTCAAATGACCAGATGAACGAATGCACCCAATTTGTAAGTTCATAACGACAGCTTGTAGCACTGCAATCTTGTTCAGGTGGCTTTCAGTTAGTGCAAGTATGCGGTAGGCTGCCTAAATTCAAGGCACTTGTAGCTCATTTCATTTCCGAAGCAGAAATTTCATCAGTTGGTATTTTCACCTGTTACAGAGCAGTATTGCTGTGGGAAAAGCTTAAACAACTCAGGAAAACAATAGAGCTTATCTTGAGTTTCACCTTTGCAAGAAGCAGATTTCGGGTAAGCATGCAAACAGAATTTGAGCCGTTTGCAGCACGTTCCGCTTCCTCAACTATTAATAAGCCAACTTCACATCCAAATGAATCTTTCATATCTGCTAACAAGGTCTAGAATTATTCCAAACTAAATTCAATTATGGTTATAAAGATGTAAATAAGCAATTATTCAAATTCTTATTCCTTATAAAGCCACTATTCGAACACAGTTTGAAGCATGAAATAATACGAGTGATCAACCCCTCATTGTGAAATTAACTCCTCAAAAGCAGTTGTTAGAAGTTTTATAAATCTGAAAACAGATTACCGTACCTCAGCAGTAGCAAAAATAACAGAATGTCTTTCCCATTCATAGCGCCTTTGAAATTTTCTTTTACTTCCATAAACGCATACTTCGGTTTCCGGGTAACCTGTACGAACAACAAAATCACTTTTCATCCTGACTGCCTTATCGAGAGATGCAGCAATAAATACTATTTTCTTTGCTGGAAACCATCTAAACAATAATTTTTAAATTTAGAAAACAATGCGTGAAAAGCCCTGGTTTTCAACACTCAAAAAATGTAACTTTTTTATTTAGAAAGCTACTAACCTTCTAAAATTGAAAGCAAGAGTAAACCCAATAAAAAGCGGGTCCATAGCTTTTGGCAGTGCTACTAGAAGGTTGGATTTCATGGCGTCAATAGTCAACTGCGAGTGAAAAGAGCAAGGCGGAACGTTAACTGAGACATAAAGCCGAGAAAACGAATCTTCTTGAAAACTCGAAGTGCTATAGAACAAACAAATCCAAAAGAATTATTTTTATTATTATATAACAGTTTGATCATTTAAAACAAAAAGATGAGAAAAATAGTTCAGCACTGACCTCTTAAAATCTTCAGCAATAGGTACTGTCGTTTTGAAATATGTTCTCAGTGGTTTCTGATTAGAAACTATTTTTTGAGGAATTCTTAGATGAGCAAATCCAACAAGGTCCATTGCGGATCTTATTAGCAGCAGGGAAAAATATGTCGGGTGTGGCTACTAGGGCTAAGAATATTGAAAAAAACTGACCACCGAAGATTCGGTAAATGTTAAACTTCCATACAAAAGCGACGTAAATGAAGCACAGTATTCTGAAAAATTTAGAAAGTGGCCTTTGAAAAAATTTGAAAATTTTTTGTTTGAATATAAACAAACCCGAACAATTCTCGTGAGAACTCGTATAAAAAAAGGTAAATACTTGAGATATTTCACTAGATTCCACGATCATCTTATACTGACAGAAAAGAATAATCAACATGTAATACCTCTAGAGGATTACCCGATACACAATCGTCATCCATCATTTAGCGATTAATAGGATTGGTCTTGTCTACTTCCGGCTCTTCTGTCAAATCCACAACTTCGTCATTATATGCAAAAGAGTATTTCGTTCAAGGACCACTCGAATCTACTTTTTTAATCTAAACCAGAAAGCATTTCTGTTAAGCAATTTGCAGCAGATAAAATGAAGGTTGTCGTAGTGCTAACGAATCATCTGGCTTCCAAGTGTCACCAGAACATCGTTCGCACGGAGGAAAATCCCGTGAACCACAACAAAAGGAAAAAAAAAACAAACGTTGACCACCAAAAAATTTTTAAACATCAGTACCCCTAACGACTCAGACTGCAGTAGAATTGAGGAAGGACTTTGTTGCGCGAATCCTCCATGCGTAGAAATGTGTTTCAAAGTACTGAAGGTGAAAATTTGAGCAGAAAAATCGCTTGAAGCAACGTGGTAGCAAGTTTTAACCATTAGGCATTTTTTGAATTGAATATTTCCCACTGGCGCCAAAAATATGTGCAAAATCCAAGTGAAAATGTAAAGCACCGGTGCTTTCGCAGTGTAGCTGCTGAGGCGCGTATTCGTTGCATACAAAGCAATATAATTCGAAGGTGTTGTTAAAGGTACTCTTTATAATTTTTCTGTTTATCTGTTACCATTTCAGTCTGCGCCAATTATCTGTATATTAAAATTCCTCAAATTGAATAATTTTTCCCTGTTCTGTATTATCACACTTACAATAGCTGAGGTCTACTGAAAGTTTTTTCGTTGTACGAACAGTTGTTAACGCTGAAGTTAGCAGGTTGTACTTTAGATTTCGCTTGCAGTATTGTCCCGAAAGGCACCCACCTTTCTGAGAGCAGTGTGACGTACAGGTATCTGTGTTCTCAGATAT